GAGCTTGTGTTTGACTGAAGCTCAGCAATGAGGGCAACCCATCTTCGCCTGCTTAAGTCTTGGGGCAGCCCAATCCTGCCTGTTGGATTTTTCTTCACTCTACACTAGCCCTTTTTGTGTCTTGTCTTGTCTGATTTGTACCTGCTCACCCTTAAGTGTCCAGTCAGGGGCTTTGGAAAATATTTCTTGCTGGAACGGAGTCTGCCTGGTAGGACTTGATCTTGTACTGTTTTCCTGGACTCTGCCCTCGATTACCCTTTTCTGGGACAACACACTGCGGTTTCCTGTACAAACCCACCTCCCAGGCACTCCAAGTCTGGAAAACTACATAAGCCTCCTACTCACATTGGTTTCTCTGTTTGAGGCCCATAGACTTGAATAATTCAGCCGGCAGCCCTCCTTCCCACCTTGTATTAGTAAACGTATTTTCTGCCGCCATGTGTTATTTATAAAGCCTTTTGTGCTACTTTATTTGCCGGCTGAGCCTGTTTGAGCCAAGAGGCCACAAGTAACCAGGAAGACGCCAAAGCAATGGGACATCTCAGGCATTTGTTCTTAATAGCTGACGACGCCCCACGGCGGTGCTAGCTCCTCTGCACAGTCCTGTCTCCCTGAAGTTAATGTTAAGGTCTTTTAAGGGTCACAAGAAGAAAACCTTTCGAGGTAACAGCCAGCTGGAGCTGGAAGAGTCGCAACGCAAGTGCCCCCGGGAAACTCACATGCAGGATGTGACGGAAAGCCCGCTCTCTGTCTCGCACTCCCCAGCAAGAGATACACAGGATACCACCTCTTTCCTTTTTCTGGGAAAAATGGAGACAGTCTAAATCAGAGGTTGGGAAAATGGCTTCTTTTTAGACAACGAGACATTCCCAGGAGATATATCTAGTGGATCCAATCAAGCTTGAAGTGTGCAAAGGCCAAACTTTCCCCACCTAATGAAGCCACTCTAGAGACTGGTGGGTTGACTGTTTTCAGAAAAAGCAACAGCACACAGTTGTAGGGAAAACAGAATCCACGTTTATATGGTTCCTGCGGAAACATCAGGGTACTAAGCAGATTGCTGGACATATTTAAAACCAAAGTGCAAACTGGAAGACAAAAAAAAACCTCTCAAAAGGTATGTTTTTAAAGCACTACTTGTTTACAGTAAAGGAGACAACACGCGAATCTTCCGATCATCATAATCATCTTTGAACTGCAGAGCTGGAAGGGACCCTTACGGATCATCGAGTCCAGGAGGCCCAGCGGGGAATCAAACTCCCGAAGTGCTTAAACCATAGAGATATTGGCTAAATAGATTTAGATTTAAAGAGTTACTTTTGGAGCTACAGTTCCAGACATGCTTTTCTTTCTGTAGTGCACTCTTGAAGTTACAGCACAAAAACAAGAAACAAGAAACTTTGGGGTACCGGAAACCTTCACCCCCACTAGCCCGGTCTTCCTGCATTGAGGAGATTTCAAGGGTAACAGCCCTGGGGGCATTTTCTGCCTTTCCCAGCTCTTTTTCATCTCTCAGTTCTGGTCTGCAGGCAGCCACCGAAGGGATGCTCCTGTCGCCTCCAGCCATTTGTCATCATTAACTCCACGGTGAAGGCTATTTGGAGCCGAGCACGGGAAGATGAAGCTCTCTTGGGAATGCACCTGCCCAAAGGTCAACTTCCAGCCCATCGTGAGCCCACCCGAATCTCTAGCAGCTGGCACCCTGAAGTCAGCCATTCTCACTGCCTTGTCTCTGGTGGATGTTTCCTCCGTCTGATCCTATGCGAAAGGATGGCTTCCTCTCTACACAGTGCACCAAACCTGCATCTGCAGGCTTAATTTTTTTTTTTGGCAGGGTGAGGAACAGAAAGCAACCACCAGCCAATGTTTTCTTTGCTCCTGCAGCTAAAACCTACACTACATTTGCTGTCATGAATCACAATGTACATACCTAAGAACTATCAGTGGGCAAAGAATGTAAATCCTTTAAGAATCTCTTTTTTCCCCCCTTTCTTTTTCTTTTTAAAAAAGAAAAGGGACAATCAGACTCATACTCTTTAAGGATTCACGATACATTCGGAAGTATATGGGCGTTTGCCAACTGAAAACTGAAAAAACCAAGTGATATACATTTAGCCATGTTCGTCTGCTTCAGAAAACAGTCATGAGTTTGTATATCTTGCTTCGATCATTAAACCAAACGGAGACTGTAGCCAAGAAATTGGAAGAAGACTAAGACTGGGAAGGGCAGCAATGAAGGAACTGGAAAGGATCATCAAGTTTAAAGATGTGTGTCACTGGAGGAACTAAGACAAGATTTTTCATGTTCATGTATTTCCGATCACCATGTACGACTGTCAAAGCTGGACAGTCAAGAAAGCTGACAAGGGAAAAAAATTGATTCATCTGAAGTGGCAACCTTCACAGCTGGAAAAATGTTGCCCAATGTGCACTCAGCCTCATGTGCACACGTGTGAATGCACAAAGACACACATACACTGCTCTGGATCTCTGAGATGGGGGAGGCATCAAGTCTGCCCAATTCTGGAGGGGATGCAACTTGCGAGTAGAGGATGCAAACATCCCCAGGTGAATCCCAACATTTTGTGGTGGAGCCAAGGGAACAATTCTGCCTGAAGCCCTGGGAAATTACCATCACTTGCCCATAATGTCAGCTGTAAAAGTTGGCAATAGAGTGTTAGAGGGACCAAAGGTTTTTACTGGAGATGGGCACAAACTGGCTCGTCCCAGTTTGTCCAAGTTCGTAAATGTGGCATCTCAGGTGCTGCTGTTCCCCTCCCCTACCTCCTCAGCCGATCAGCCACTCACCAGGTTTATCTTGCTCGTTATTCCCACCTCCTCAACTAATCTCCCAGTCACGAGCAAGAGCACAGACTTCTCAGCTCCGCCCCTTTGTCTGATTGGGAGATCAGCCAAGAGGGCGGGGCAGAGAAGCCTGAGCTGTTGCCGGTACTGGGAGATCTGCTGAAGGGGGTCTGGAAGCTAGCACGTGAGTGGCTGATTGAGCCAAAAGAGGCAGGGGAGGGGAGCAGCAGCAGCTGAGATGCCACCTTTACGAACTTGGACAAGCTGGGACGAACCGGTTCATGGCCATCTCTAGTTTTTACTCAGCATAAAGCACCTTCCTATTCCTGTGTTGTGAAAGATTTGGGAGATGGGGATGTAGTTAGGTCCATCAGACCCTTAATTTTGTCTCCGAGGTGCAGAAACCAGAAAACTGGTGTTTATCTCTCCCTTACCCCCAACTCAGCAATTATTTTGGACTGAGAGTAAACAAGTTGGAACTCGATAAGAAAGAAAGAAGCACCTTCAAAACTGCATGTCTCCATCCAGTCAGACCATACATAAAAGTTTTGGATCATCCTGGAGAGCAGCAAAGCATTGTGTGATTGATTGACACAAGACATTTGGCAGGGATCCAGCCATATTGGCAGGGGGAGGAATGTAGAAACGGGAGCGATGAGCAATTTCGTGATAGGGGAACGGCACTGGAGCACAGCGCGGGAGCCGTCGGTATCCAAAAGATGAACAGAAAATAACAACACAAAATTGCCTGGGCCGCCAGTAAATTCTCTTGCTTTCATGAATGAAATGTTTCTTGGTAGATTTGGCAAGAAATATCCTTAGCTGCATCTTAATCACTCCTTTGGATGCTCAGTTCTCCAGGCAATGAGACATTTTAGAGGCATCGTTTTAGAAGAGTCTCTTCTAAGAAGGTAACACTAGAAAGAAAATATTCTGCCAGATTCTGATCTGGCCAGATTCTGTTTAGAATGTAACACCTTCCAACTAATGAGAATCAGAGTACAAAAAGGGAGACACAGAAAGAGCCTTACCCGAAGGATATGAAGACTGGGGACATATTTGGGTGTCCTCCTGGCTGATCCTTCTGCTCTGGGAACGCTATTAGATTGACCTTGGAAAACCTTGAATATAATTTATTCAGAAGTGGTTTATTCTGAAGGCTCCCTGGGACAGTGCAGTTTGCCCAAAGCCATACAGGCCAGGGAGGAGAGGTAAGTTTACAAAAGCCCAGGGGGAGGGGGGGGGAAGCAAAGCACAGGGTGCTGCTTATATACCACCCCATAGCACTTAAAGCACTCTCTGGACAGTACAAGTTAATTATGCCAGCTACCCACTTCTCTCCTTCCAGCACAACCATCTCCACATCAGATCAAGTCTAAACGTTACAAACCGGCAAAAAAAGGAAGCTGACGTTTGATCAATGCAGGATAGATGGCTCAGTCTGGACCTGATGTGGTAAGCAAGCTGGCAGGGAAAGGGTATTCCTCTCCAAATATGCAATGCAGGATAGATGGCTCAGTCTGGACCAGATGTGGTAAGCAAGTTAGCAGAAGGGTATTCCTCTCCAAATATTATGTCCAAACTTGTATTATCAGCAGCATGAGCACTGATGTGGTTGTATGCACACACTTCATAGCACTGACTAGAGATGGGCACGAACCGCCAGTTCGTTTTTATCCGAACAGGCGTTTGACACTTCCCAGCCCCGCCTTCTCCATCAGCTGCCCACTCAGAGGCAGCACCCAGAGGAGGCGGGGCAGGGAATCTGGGGCCTCCGAGTGGGCGCCTGCCAGAGGAGGCAGGGCTGGAAAGCACCAAACACCTGTTTGGACGAAAAGCTGGGTTCATGCCCATCTCGAACACCGACCCCTGGCGGTTCTACTTCCCAGCATCATCCCTGGCATCATCCCCTTCAACCAAGAAAAGATTTACATGCAGAAGAGGGGCAGTAAGGACAACCCCTCGATTATTATTTTTTTAAAGAAACAATCCGCAAAATTGACCTGAACGGAGAAGGGGCCAATGAAAGAAAGCTGCTAGGATAGAAAGCACAGTCACGTATTTCCCAAAAGTGTCAGAAATGTGTTTGTTTGTTTTTTAATGCAATGAAAGAAAGCTGCTAGGATAGAAAGCACAACCACGTATTTCCCAAAAGTGTCAGAAATGTTTTTTTTTAATGCATAACAGGTACTTACGGAGTAGCTGGCTTTGAAGTCTACATAAGTCCTGCCCAGAATCCTGCCCATGCCCAGTTCATCACTGATTGGCAATGAGATGCGCCGCCACCAACCTTCACCGCTGTCGGGAATACCTGTAACAAATAAGAATAAGCAGAGAGCATGTGTCTGAATGTAATTAATTTTTACCCTTACTGTGGGCACTGGGGTGGCCTTTCCAGTCTAGGAGTTAATGAGGGCAGGGTGAGAATCTGACCGCCATCCTTTAAGGCCTTTTCTGCAGCTAGTAGAGCTGTCCTGGTGCACCCCTCTAGTAAAGGATACATCGTCACTCCTGAAAGGAGAGGCAATTCATCTTTAAACAAGTTCCAGCTTTTAATTAAAAAAAAAAAATTTAAACCATTCTCCAACACAGCGAGTAGACTTCCAGCTCTTTCCAGTTCAGCATCTTTCCCCTTTTCCCCCCTTTCATTTTGAGGGATTCACTATGCCTCTCTACGGATCTCAGGACGAAAGCAATCTACCCATGGAACCCGTTGTGAAAAATACAGATACAATTTCTTTGCCATGACTTTGGGGCAAGACATCCAGGTTCGTGGACAACTTCAGGCTAAGTGAGTGTTGCTCCTAGCTGATAAATCATATAATTCTTACTCCTATCGGACCATACAGTGGTTGTTATTTCTGTTGCAGTTTTTGCAAACTTGCATGCTGCCTTTAGCAGGTTTGGGTGGAAAGGACCTCTCTGGGCTGGGATGACTGTCAATCTATCCAGCACTAACCAATCATTCCTCCCTTGCCTCTGAATTCAAAAAGAACCCCGCCTCTCTGCTGAGACCTTTCCCCCTCTCTTTAGTGTGTTGGAAGCAGTGATTCTATTGAAACGTGTTGCTGAAAGCAGTCGTGTTTGCCAGTTTGATGCTTGATAGGTTCAATTGTAATGATACCTTTTATTCTTTTTCCTACTAATATCTCAGAGTGGGCTATTGAGATTGTAAGCGCCAGTTGATGAGAAAAAGGACTGGAGTACTGCGGGGAACACGAAGTTATTCTGCTCTGTGAATTTCAGCACTTCTGCAGCGCAGCTAGCCAAACTGAAATTCAAAACTCTGCAACAATTTGAACCAAAAATCTCTTAAGCCCGAGGCAGAAATGTCACTCCTTCCCAAACACCAGAGGTAATGCTCTTTTTTTCCCCCAAAGTTTAAGTCAGTGGAGTTTTCACCTCCTTCAAGCGTAATTGCTCTTATTAAGTAATTGGCACTCCATTGCTTTGGCACCAAATGTATGTTTTGTTCGGCTTGTTTAAAGAAACATCTTAAGTACAAAGAACTGCCTCGCTCTGTACGGTGCTGGTTTCCACGGGAGTGCCACTTAAATAAAGTCATTAAGTAAATGAATCTATTCCCCCAGCTCCCAGGAAGCTAAAAAGCAATCATAAAAGGCACACCGTCTAGTACCCGAGTGGAGTAGGATGGGTGGTTTTCCTTGCATGGTGCGGAAGCCATGTTGATTGGCCTCACCCTGCCAGGTCTTGATGCAAAGCCAATTACAGAAATTACTTTCAAGAAGGTGTCAATACGAACTAGCACCCTCAACCCATTAAAGGCATCTTAGCAAATGCATTGCAAAGCCTCTAAAGCGGTTAAAATGATCTCCTAACACTAGTGGTTAGTACTGTCCTTCTCGAAACATGAGGACCTATTTCTACGTATAAGGAGGAACTCTTATAGATACGTAGGCAGGTAAGTAGGTTTATCCTAAATTGAGACTTGCCCTCCCTCAAGTTTTTTAGACCTACTTTCATTTCAAGTTGCTAAATGCCTGCAGGAAGAAAAACTGGATGTCTGTGACCAGAATTGCACCCTTTACAAGAAATATGTGGTTCCCAAATTTGCAAGGGTCTCTCACTGCTTCCTCATATGTACACTTAAGTCCTCTCCATTATGCACACCCACACCCCTCCACTTGCTCTCCCCAGCCCTAGCTTAAGCTCCATGGTTTGTCATGAGGCAGCTCCTGGCGTCCATTTCCACCAGCTAAAAATAATAATACCTGCGTGGCTTGCAGGGTTTCTGTTTGCCCAAACCGGCGGCCATCTTCTCTCCCCCCCACCTGAGCGACAAGAACCGATCTGAGCATGCTCCGTGGGAGCTTTTCCCCACCCAGGGAACTTCTCCTTTCCACCACTAGGTGGCGAAAGAAAAAAAATGATAGGCTTTCCCTCACGATTTATCTATTTTATTTTAAATATTTTTTTTACTCCGCCTTTCTCCTCAAGGCGGTTTCCATCATTAAAAGAACAATATTTGAAGCTAAAAACAGTAAGCATGCAAATACTAAAAAAGGATCAAATGCCACAGTAAAAAACGGTAAAATACCAAAATACCTTCAAAGCAGTAAAGTACAACCCTCCATTTAAAAAAAAACACACACTTTCAGATAGTCAGACATTGAGGGAAAACAGTCATCTGTACTGCCAAAATCACAGTACTCAGCTTAGTGTGTGTGTGTTTATTTAGTTAATTATTTAATTTCTACTCTGCCTTCCTCTTTGTAGAGGGACTCAAGGCAGTTCACAAATGGTTTAAAAACACAAATATTGAAACAATTATTTTTACACATTTTTTTTAAAAAAAGAAATCACACTGTTAATAAACAAATTAAACATACATCTTAAAACTGCAGAGCCGGAAGGGACCCCCAAGGACCATCAAGTCCAGCCCCTGTCCAGGAGGCACCGTGGGGGGAATCGAACCCCTAACCTCTTACTCCGTGGCTCTAAACCACTGAGCTATCCAGCTATCCTTTAATAATATCTTTTCATTATAACAATCATTACCATCATCCTCTTGGAACTGTAGAGCTGGAAGGGTCCCTATGGCTCACCAGCTCCATAATTAAGAGGCACAAAAAAAAACCCTCATTAGATAAAATCCAGAAAAGCATTTGATGACATCTCAGAGCTGTGATTATCAATCCATGAGACAAACTCAGTGGAAACAGTGCTTTACTTTCACTACAACTCCCAGCTGTTGGTGTAACCGATAACATTTTCTAGTTACTTTATAAACAGCCATTTATAGACATTTTGATAGGGCGTTTCTTAAAAATGTTTTGTGCCTTTCAGTCCTACGGTTTTGGGAGGTGCCGTTCAAAAGAAGGAAGGTTTCCGAGCTCTGAGTCTGATCCTGATCTTCTCGTGGTCTGCCATTCCTGGAGTCCAGCACCAAAGGTTACGCCGTTGTGTTGCGTGTTTCCAGGAACAGAGCCCTGATGTTTGAGCAGCGCACCAAAGAAATCCAGTTGCAAACTAGCGCTAAGGCTATGCCTTGCCTGAACCTGGCAGCACATGGGTTGTTGTTGTTGTTTTTTTGCTCTTGTCCCAGCCGTTCAAAGGTCCTTGTGAACTCCAGAGCCCATTTCAAGAGCCTGCAAAGTTCAAGGTGGTGTATGAGAAAGAGGGACAGCAGGGCCCACCAGTTGGAGCCTGGGCTGTCTCTCCTCGTTGCATGCAATTTTTGATCCTTTCCATCTCTTTTAAGCTTGCTCTCACCGGGACAGCAGGGAATAACAGACTCCCGATGTAGACTTTAGGGAGTAGGCAGCAGAGATGATGATGAATGTCTACAGCGTTATGGAACTCGCTGAAATACACACTTCTTTATTCCCCCTCCCTTAGGACTCTAACAAGACCTCCTGAGAGTTACTCCTTGAAAAGTCACAGAACTATCCAACGCGGAACAACTTGCCAGAATTTGGAAGAGTTTTCCTGGAACCAAAATGGAAAGTGTTTCTGGGAACAGAGCCCTGATGTCTGAGCAGCGCACCAAAGAAATCCAGTTGCAAACTAGCGCTAAGGCTATGCCTTGCCTGAACCTGGCAGCACATGGGTTGTTGTTGTTGTTTTTTTGCTCTTGTCCCAGCCGTTCAAAGGTCCTTGTGAACTCCAGAGCCCATTTCAAGAGCCTGCAAAGTTCAAGGTGGTGTATGAGAAAGAGGGACAGCAGGGCCCACCAGTTGGAGCCTGGGCTGTCTCTCCTCGTTGCATGCAATTTTTGATCCTTTCCATCTCTTTTAAGCTTGCTCTCACCGGGACAGCAGGGAATAACAGACTCCCGATGTAGACTTTAGGGAGTAGGCGGCAGAGATGATGATGAATGTCTGCAGTGTTATGGAACTTGCTGAAATACACACTTCTTTCTTCCCCTCCCTTAGGACTCTAACGAGACCTCCTGAGAGTTACTCCTTGAAAAGTCACAGAACTATCCAATGCGGAACAACTTGCCAGAATTTGGAAGAGCTTTCCTGGAACCGAAATGGAAAATATGTATATATGTATATATATATATATATTGCCTGGGGATTAGAATCCACCTTACCTTTCTCCCTGTCTTCTCAATAAACTTCCTAGGAGTTTCTAGTAGCAGTCTTGCTATCGATTCATTGCTTCTGTTACTCCAGGAAAGATTCCTGGTTGCTGATGGATCTGTTGTTTATTGAAAATGAATATAACTTTGAGGACCTTTTTGTTCTGTGAAGCTTCAACCTTTGACTGTTTGCTGGGGAAAGAGGCGTTTATGAGTAGAGACTGTTTGTATTTTTGTTCTTATGTTTTTAATGGTTGTTCATCCTATATTAATATGTAGGATTATATACTGTATTATACATTTGTCCGATACAGCTCAGTGAATTGTAGCACCAGAGATTAGGAGATCAATTCTCCAATATGCCTTCTGAAAGACGAATTAGCCTGTGCAGTTCAGGGCACGCTTCACGGTCACAGAGAGCAACCAGAAATTAGGACAGGTAAACCCAGAAAACCCTGGGAAGGGTTAACACACCTCAACGTTTACTTGGTGACCTACAGTTATTATTTAATGCTGTGCTAATATTCTATCTATTTTGGTCTTGTCTGTAACCTTTAAGGGTCAAACTAGACCTGAAAGAGAATACATGTTCTCTATGTGTCATCCAATTTTCATTCCACAAAGAGGAGGAAAAATTTACTACATTGGCAATGCAGGCTTGGAGGATCTGGAAGTTGTCGTACAAAAAACTAACTTTTTTGAGCTCTGGTTGAAGTGTTGGGTTTCATGCGCTGAGATCAGACAAACAACCTCTTTTGACCTGTTTACCAAACTTTTGTTTGTTTGTTTGTTTGTTTGTTTGTTTGTTTGTTTGTTTGTTTGTTTGTTTGTTTGTTTGTTTGTTTGTTTGTTTGTTTTGCAACCTCGCAGGCTGCCTTTGGTAGGTTTGGCTGGGAGGGACCTTTGTGGGCTGGGATGACCGCCAGTCACCAAGAGCGCTAACCAATAGTTCCTTCCCAGCCTCTGATTTCAAAGAGAGCCCCGCCTCTCTGCTCTGTGTCTCTTTTTCCCCTCTTCTCAGTCTGTTGCAAGCAGTTAGTCTGTTGCGGGCTCTGCTCTGTGTCTCTTTTTCCCCTCTTCTCGGTCTGTTGCAAGCAGTTAGTCTGTTGCAGCCTTTGCTCAAAGCAGTTGTGGTCTGTTATTGCGGGCTTTGCTCAAAGCAGTCATGTTTTGTTAGTTTGCTATTCGATCCGTTCAGAATTGTAAGTAAAGCAAAGGCTTTACTTTATACTGTCAAAGTCTCAGAGTGAGTTATTGAAATTGTGCCAGTTGATGACAAAAGGGAGTGAACTAAATTGGGGGACTTAAACCAAATTCTGCTCCATAAATCCCTGCATGTGTGGTGTGCAACTGCTCAAAGCAGTCATGTTTTGTTAGTTTGCTATTCGATCCGTTCAGAATTGTAAGTAAAGCAAAGGCTTTACTTTATACTGTCAAAGTCTCAGAGTGAGTTATTGAAATTGTGCCAGTTGATGACAAAAGGGAGTGAACTAAATTGGGGGACTTAAACCAAATTCTGCTCCATAAATCCCTGCATGTGTGGTGTGCAACTAAAGGAATTTAACCAAAATTTAAAACTCTGCAACATAGATCAACTTCCATATGTGGTCCACATGTTCCACTATCTTGGTTTGGTTCTCTAGGCTGGCTTCTTCGCTCTTCCTTTCCTCTCTTTCTCTCTCTGTCTTTCATGTTCGCTCCTTTAGCTCTGCTAAGATAAACACCACTCTGGCAGAAATCCCTTCCAGCAGAACTTTTGGGCTGGCCTCCATCAAAAACGACGCCAAAGGAGCTTCCCTTGACAAGGCAAGCAACATGGAACCCTTGTTGACTGATGCCAATAATGGCGTGCAGGAGAGCAAAGGCTGACGAAGCCTCCAGCCTCTCAGAGGAAAGGGTTACACAAACACAGGCTTTAACTTCCCTTAATGAATGGCCGTGTAGCAGGGGTAATGGAAACAAATTGGTGTCGGGTTAAGGGAATACTGAAGTGACCTCTAGCTACTGGCTTAATTGCTTTTCGTTTTTCTTGGCCGCTGGATATATATGAGCTTGTCACAACACAGCCTGCACTTGAGAAAAGTCCCTTTATTCCATAGAAAATCAATTTGGACGTTATATATCCCAGTCTCATTCCGGGGTGTTTGGTTATAAGATCTATCGGAAAGGAAATAGGGTGGCAAAACCTGTCTCCGGCACCGTTTTCAAACGGGAGGGCTCGTAACTCAAAGGTTAAGTACAGGCGCTGTACACACAATGCAGACCCTCTTAGAAGCCTTCAAGGGCAAGCTAGGAGATATTCCTTACACCTCTCAAGAAGGGCAAATTTTCACATGGGTTGTATTGGTTCATCACAGGGCCTGATTTTTTTCCCCTCATCTCCATATATCGCATTTAGCGTGCTTTGACTTTGTGACTGGCTATTGAAAGGCAACCACAGGCTCAGTTTGCAAACCTCATGAGGTGTGTTACTTCTGAGGAAATCCCATTTTAGGAAGGGGAAGCAACATGTCTTACTTACAACAAAAACCAAAGAGTGGAAATTACAAGATCAGAAAGCGGTGGAAATCTTCCAAAATGACATGGATACATCAGAAGCATTCCTAGCAGGCTCATCTTTATTCTCCACAGAGATTCAGATTCATTTTCTCTCCCACACCCAAGACAGGGCAGAACAATACATGAAAGGGTCCATGTAACAAACATTTAAAGCTCCTATATTATAGGATACATAATATGGGCG